CTACTGTTATCCCTACAAATCCCCCTACAAATCCCATATATCTTAATTCCCATATAACCCAAGCAATTCCCATACAACCCCCAGATATCACTTTTAATCCCCAAATAATAAAAAAAACACCGCAAAATCCAAACAAACCAAAATACAAACTTAAAGTTATATTCGATAAATGCTTAAAAAACCCATAGTTAGTACTGTGAAAAGATTCTTAATTTAAAGACGCTACACAAATAATTGATCAAAAATAACCTTTAGCACCAGCGGCAAAATTTGAAAAAAATGGTGTTAAATAGCTTTTCACCATTTTCTAACCAAAAAAATGTATTTTTGGAAAATCTAATAATTTCCAAATTATTTGATCTAATACAACATCAAACAAGTATTTGTGCAAACAAAATCAAAAAAAATGATCAAATATTTGATGTTCTCTCTAGCGGCATTGAGAATTTTATGTATCTTTGGTGCATGATTTACTAAAAACGTTGCCCTTCGTACCCTATATCAAGAAAGCAAATCGTTTTTTATTTATCGAAAATTTGTAAAAATATCGAAAGCAAATCGCAAATTTGTCTTAATAGTTTAGCAAGATAACATGTATTAATTGGATAATGTGTGTTTGGAAAATTCAAAAGGAAATTATGTGCTCTGTGGATTGTATGTAGGATCTAGACGGCATAGGTGAGATATGGGCGGATTTGAGGGGATAAATTTCAATGAGTGAAACCAAGTGCAGACATGCACTGTAAAAATTTTTTGGACGAAACAAAACTTAAAATTTTTTAAAAACGTTTCAGTATCGAAAGAAACACAACTCTTAATTTAAATTTAGAAAAACAAGACAAAACAATTTAAATTGCAAAAATTTTTTTGATAGCTTTAAGTTTTACTTCTGCTTTTTAAGCTCGCATTTTTTGGCCCCGAAGTCCTAAAACAGCAATTTTCCAAATTCTTAAAAACGAAAAAATAGGCTATAATTAGTGCCAAAACGCCTTGCAACGGAAAAAAAGAAAATAAATGGAGTTTTTGCAAACGCTACTCTGGTACTATTTAATCCCTCCAAATTCCCCTAACACAATCAAAATCCCTGATATCCCACAAATATTAAATTTGGTTTGAACAAGTGCGAAATAATTTAGGGGCATATGCATTCAGATTTATGTATAAGTTTTCCAGATATCTCCCTTTCCTCAAATCCTATGTTTGATATGCGCATGTTTCTTTATTTTGTGTGATTTCGTTTCATTTCCTTATAAATCTGACTTCTCAAAAAATAAAACCAAGAAATTTAAATTCTGGTTTTTTTAATTAAAAACTAATGTACGAGCGTTTAGGTGCCGCGAAGCGGCACCTAAACGCTCGTTTAATATAAAATTCAATATTTTTCAAGTTTGTTGCAGCAAATGCTCAATTTTGTTTCGAAAAAATTCGTTCATTAAAAGATGAAAGTTCAAGACAAGGCTATACATTGGCAATTGGTTCATTGCATCGTTATATGGGTTCATTGGGTAGTGGACAGCATTTGAATACTGCAATTGAAATTTTGCTTTCGTTGGCTCAAGATACTAATAATTGTTCTTCTGTAAAGGTTTTTTAAAGATTTTTAAGATTATTTTTTAATCAATGTTTGCCCTAATTCTAAAATACGTCCATTACTAGTGTGGTACTTGGTTGGTTGATACCCCGGATCTCTTGTGGTACTCGGTTGGTCAATGCCCCCAATTTTTTGTCTGACATGAGCAAAGGGATTTGTTGGGTTGAGAAAAAAAATCGAGTCAAGGTTGTGGGACAGTTTTTTAGAATTTCTTTGGGTCTTTTGATCATCCACAAAGAGACAAACCACATTTTGACCAACCACAATCTGCTCGTAATTTTTTAATTTTAAGCAATGGGCCATTATTTCGCTGTCGCTGATAGCTTCCACTGGAGGTGGCATGTTTTGGTAAAAAAAAATTTTTATAAATATTTTTAAATTTTTATTTTTAGCCCATATGCTGAACCAGTTCGTAATCTTTGTTTCCAGTTATTAATGAATACTCAACACTTGTCAAATGAGATTGTCCGTGCTGTTGCTAAATTGGTTTTTTTTTAATTTTTTTTTTGCTTTTTTTGGTGGTCAAAAAAATTTTTTTTCACAGATTTTTTCTCTCATAACGGCAGCTGGTCCAGAACTTAATTCAACACCTTCAACTAGTAATAATGGAAATAATTCAGAATCTGCGCGTAATTCTTTTCTTACAATATGTTCTATGCTTATACAATTTGATGATCCTTTTGTTAAAGCCGATGCTACAGCCTGTTATCAACATTTACATTTATTTGTTCCTCGATTTTTGGATATTTCTCAATTGGTTTTGACTATTTGTGTTGGTTTTTTAATTTTTTTTATTAGAAATTACTTTGGATTAGGTTTGGGAACTGACTGACCTAGGCAATTTTTTGCTTAACCCCATCAGTCAAAGGATTAATAACCTAATTTTATCGAGCTATCATTCAAAGCGATCTAGAACCTCGGATAGAAACCTTTGGCATTCTCATTAGTCACACTTTTCAAACCCGACAGAGCCTGAGTTTTTCCTATGTTTTATTGAGGTCTGGATTAGAGTTCTTCACTCACGGCAAGGGCGTATCCAGGGGGTCGGTTTCGGGGGGGGCTAACACTGGGTGGGCGCAAAAATTTTTGGCGTTTACCTTGGCGTTCCGGACACAAATTTTTTTGTACATAAATTTCCATCTTTTCTGCGCCGCAGGCGAAAATTTTTTGAATTTTGGAAGGCCGTAGGCCAAAAAAATTCACTTTTTTGCGCCGCAGGCGCAAATTTTAAGGATTGTGGAGCTCAAGAAGCCAAATTTCTTCCATTTTTTGCGCCGCAGGCGAAAATTTTTAAAATTTAGAAGGCCGTAGGCCAAAAAAATCACGTTTTCGGCGCCGCAGGCGCCAAAAATTTGATTTTCAGCGCCGCAGGCGAAAATTTTTTAAATTTCAGAGGCCGTAGGCCAAAAAACTTCACTTTTTTTGCCCCAACCCTTCCTCAAATTTTTTCCTTTTCCCCATTTCGGGGGGGGGGCTCTAGCCCCCCCCAGCCCCCCCCTGGATACGCCCTTGACTCACGGTCTATTTTTTCCTTTAATGGCTTAATGCTCTTAAAGAGAATAAGAGCATCTGAGCCACTGTGAAAGATAAGTCTTGAACAACGCAAATTGGGATCTAATCTTAATTTGAATTGTGCACAAAACCTAATTGATTTAATGTAATAAATTTGACTAATCATGGATTCAGTACCCATCGGATCCCTTCGTTTTCTTATCAATAACCAACTTTTATTTTCAATTTTACAGGAATTTTTGCACAGTCCAACATTCATTTTACGAAAATCAGCAATTGTATGTCTTCGCCAATTGCTTCAACGCGAATCTCACGAAGTACGCGAGCATGTTAAACCTTTAATACCTTCTTCTGGTTTATTTGTTGAAAATGATTTGGATGGTGGAAAAAAATTTGGAAAAAATTCTGACAAAATTTTTGCCCTTCCAGAATGTGGACTAGAAGGAGCCCTTTTTCAGATGATGGATACAGAAACGGATTTTGAATTGCGTGAACATATAAAGGTTTTTTTGAAATATATGAGGGCAAGGGCGTAGCCAGGGGGCTTCCTAATGACCTCCAAATTTCAAAAAATTTTTGTCTTCGGCACTAAAAAGGGAAAAAAATTTGTGGCGGCGCTGAAAAATAAAAATAAGTGTATAATAAAATTTGCGTTCGAAATGTCAGCGCACCCCATTTTAGCCAATCCCTGAAATCACCCCCTGGTTACGCCCTTGTATGGAGACTATAAAATTAATTTTAAATATATTTTTAAGCAATCTCTTCTCTTTTTGCTACAAACCTCTTGTAACGAACTTCTTGGATTTTGGCTACTTCTTTGTAAAGACATTTTGGGCAGTTCCCAGTTGAGTCAAGATAATATTCGTAGCACAATTTGTGTGACTATTGATGACGGAAAAGAAGAAAATGAGGTTTTTTTATTATTTTTATGTAAATATAAAGGGGAGGATAGCAGATTTCACTGTTATCAACAATAGGAAGTCGAGGGTCCTCTATCGGTTTATTTATCGTCTTTATTTGACATGAGTAGAGTTGTGAATTTTATGCATTAAAAATGGAAAATATGCACTATAATATGCACATAAAAATACCAAAATATGCACGAAAATATGCAAGAAAACCAAAATATGCATGCAAATAAGCACGAAAAATACAAATTATACCTAGAAATTTCACATTCTTTAGTAAAAAAATTTCACATTCTTTAGTAAACCCCGCGCTTCGCGCGGGGTTTTGCGGCACGCGCCTCGCGGGGAGTCTACGGGCGCTGGGTCTGGGCTCGTAACATAAACCTGTTCCTATCTCCCTTACTCTGGACGTATTTGGGGCATCCGAAGCAGCAATCTCCACAGATGCCATAGGTAAGGAGCTAAAATAAAAGATCATAACTTTGTCCACTCATGTCTGATTTCGTTGATTTTGGTGTCATTCGACTCAGCTCGAGGAGCTCTTTCAATGAGCTATCATTTGCATATTCGAATTTTTCACCGCAAAAAAGTGCTTGGTCCCCCATATGGTTTTTCAATTTTCGGGGGCCTGTATCTCTGCGAGTTTTTGTCTCCCGCAGAAAATTCTTGCATATTTGAACTCAGCTCGGCGAGACGAATCGAATGGTATATACCACAGGTTCCGATCTCGGTGGGCCTATACTAAATTACAGCCGCGCGCCCAAAAACAAAAAAATTTTTTTACAAAATTTGTAATTTTTACAAATTTTTCCTAAATTTTTACATAATTTTCCGAAATTTTTACAAAATTTTCACTTTTTGGCAGGATTTTGGACAATTTTCGCGATATTTTACCCAAAACCCTCAAAATATGCATTAAAATATGCATTATGCACCAAAGTCCGAAATATGCAAAAATATGCATTATATGCAAATAGAAACCCCCTCTAATGTTTTCAAAACATGCGGAAACAGTGTTTTTTGTGCATTATACGTCAAGACAAGTTTGCAAAAAAAATATGCATTTGCATAAAAATCACAACTCTAGACATGAGACGATAAATGCCGCTCCAGACTACTGAAGATTTGATCAGCTATAACTTTTTAATTTGGGGGTTAGGGGGAAAAGCCAGAAATGGCCAATAGGTTTTAAACTCTGCTCTACACGATGTTGCAAAAAAATTTTTCGAAAAATTTTTACATACAGTTGGGGATGTTCCCTTGTGAATGCTGTAAATTCTCCTTTATCTTTTTTCTTACTTTTCCCTTATCTTAAATTTTTAAGGATGATGACGATGACAATTTACATGGAAGTACACCTTCAAATACCAAAATTGGAAGCACAGAAATTTTAATTCAACCCCGTTGGCCAACTCGTTGTTTCGCTTTTGAAATTGTTCAACGACTTTTGGGTGTTTGTGACACAGACAAGGCACATTTGGATTTGGCACTAGCAAAAGAATTGAAACAGATGAATATTGAAGATGGAGAATCAACTACAAATAAAAAAGCTGGAGATTACCTAGTTTTGCATCTTTCTGATCTTGTTCGAATGGGATTTATGGGTATAATATCAATTTTTTAATTAAAAGTGTATACTCCTTTGGACACAAAAATTCATCTCCTAATGAGTTGTGTCTTGCTAATGTTAGAGGAGAATAACATTTGGACGGTTCTCCCTTTCCCGTAACAAATTTTGAAACGTACTATATAACAGTGACGGGCCGGATTGATAAAAAGTCGTGTCGGGTTTCGGATTGGGTTTCCAAAATTTTCTTCGGATCGGGTTTCGGGTAACCCGGTCTATTCCTGATATATAACCTATGATTGGTTTTGTGATGGAAAATGGTTGGATTTGGTGCCCGACCCACTCTGTTTTATATAACTCTGACATGAGTATTTGTTTCAATATTTTTTATCTTTTTTTTTTCAATTTTTAGGTGCAACTAGTGAGAATTTTCATTTACAAATGGCTGGATTAAATTGTCTACAAAGCATAATTAGTAAATTTTCCAAAGTAGCTGAGCCAGAATTTCCCGGTCATTTATTGCTTGAACAATTCCAAGCTCAGGTAAATTTTGCAATGCATACTCATTTAAATAGAGCCGAGCTTTAATTTTTAATTTAAATTTATTTCAGATTGGAGCAGCACTTCGTCCCGCTTTTTCTCCCGAAACTCCCCCAAATGTTACTGCTTTTGCCTGTCAAGTAGCGGGTACTTGGCTATGTTCTGGTGTTGCTAGAGATTTGAATGATTTGAGACGTGTTCATCAATTATTAGCTTCTTCTTTAGATAAATTGCCTAAAAGCAAGTCGTCAGTTGTTGAAAAGCTTGAACAAGATCAATCTTTGGTAAGTTTTTTTTGGTTTTATTAGCACCCAAAATTAGTTTCGATTTAGAATACGTTTTAATATTTGTTAGGTCGGACGAGCGGAGGTTTAAGCGATACCCTCTACTTAAGACATCGTTTGTTCACTCGGAGCTGAATTGATCATATCTTATGATAAGATGTATCTTAAATAGAGGTCCTTCACCCAATGGGCAATCAAATTTAATTGATGAGTTTTAAATTGAGGTGGATGTTAGGTTTATCAAAAAATGGGTCCGACTGTGTCTTCCGTCTTCCAATGAATTTTTTTAATTTTACGCTTCAGCATCCTCTCGTTTTTAATTTTGTTCGCTTTCTTTTATGTTCCACCCCCATTTTTACTCTAGATATTTTTGAAGAATTATTATTTTTTAGTCATCAACTCCTCCAGCATCTATACAACTTTACAATGAGAGTATTGCAACTTTGGAACAATTATCAATTCTTCGTGCTTGGTCTAAAGTATATATTTGTGCTATTGAACAATGGAAGAAGCAGACAATATCAAAAGAAGAATCTTCATCACAAAATAATTCTCTTTTAGTTTTAGTAGAGCCTTCTTTAAATATTTTAATAAAACATTGGTTTGCTGTTCTTCGAGATTTTTCAATTATTTCATTACCTCAAAATATTTTGGACGATTTGAAGGAATCTGGATTTGATGGAGGAGGCACTTTTTTCACTGCAGATAGCATTGAGGTGAGGAAAAATTATTAAAGTTTGGGAATTTTGGTTATTTGAAAGTAGGCTACTAGGGTTCTTGGTGACCGGTCAGTTACCGCTTACCGGTCAGTTACCGGTTTTCAGTTCGGTTAAACGACCACCAACAACTCTTTTGGTCATTCATGTTCGATTTGAATTTTGACAAAACATTTAGGTAATTTCAAGATAAAGAGAATGCAGTCGTACCCCGCTTGTATTTAGTTAATGTGTGACTCGCGCAAGTAGAATCCGACTGTACTTTTTAATACCGAGGATGTTTTTTAAGGGAGGTTCGACTGTGAACTTTCTTGTGATTAGACAATAATCTAATTCCATTAACAAAATTCCTGTTACCTAAGAATGTTTTACAACACAAATATACCTAATTTCTTTTTCAGTGTTGCAAAGAGCATTATTACACTTCTTGGCCATTAATTTTACTGGCTTGTTCAGTATGGATGCGTTATGGACAAAATCCTTCAAATCCCAAAGATTATGCAATCAACGAAAAGTCTAATTTTCATTTAATTCTTGGAATTTGTATGGATTTTTTGTCAAATAATTCCAAAAGAGAAGATGAAAGACCTATTCAACTTTGTCTTTCTTCAATAGAAAATTTATTGGAATGTGAAAAATTACAGTTAGAATTGATGTCTGATGTTAGAATGCCTATTGAAGTAAAAATTGTTTAAAAATCCTTGTCTATCTTTTTTTATTTTTAGCTTTTGAATGTGCTTTACAAGTGGGTTTTATCATTTTTGATGGATTTCTTTTTAATTTTACGTTGTTTAATGTCCCTTAGCATTCTCCCAAAATTTTCCGAACGTTCCTAGACAGGTCGGGTTTAGAAAAAGGTCCAACCGGGGTTGCTAATTTTTTCAGATCGAAGGATTTTCTGGATATACCTCTTTCTACCTAGATTTAGATCAGTTATTTCGTAGTGCGACACTTGGGGACGGGCATTTGTGGAGTGGGGGCGGCATCACCGTGCTCGTGCAAAAATTTTACTAAATAAAAAATAGAAACAATATTATAAAAAATAATCTTGAGGGATTAAATGGGATATCTAGGGATTATGGTGATATGAAGGGATCATTTGGAATTGATGGATATCGATTGATTAGTTGGGGCTGTTATGGGTAAAACGTAACGCCCGTTTTTGATTTCTTTAATCCACTATATCAACTTAATCCCATCCCTCGATATATTCGAAGCGTCTAACAATAATTGCTAATAGGCATTTGGCTAAAATTTTGATCAATTTTTTATTATCAGATTAATCTTAACTCTGGACAGTATGCAAACACAACACCTTTTAGTTAGAATAATTTCAGCAATTTTAAAAGCAGCAAAGCTTGTAATAGAATTAAATAAAAATGAGGAAGAACATTATCAAAATCATCAAAATAATAATAGACAACTCGAAAACGGACATCTTCTAACTTCAAATAAATCTTTTAAGGGTGGCGAAGGAGTTGGGGGAATTTTTGATCCATCAAATTCTTTAGTTTTTGCGTTGCTTGAATCAATTATGTGTATACTTGCTCGACAGGTAAAATAATTTTAAGCGAATTTTAAACAAAATTTCTTTTAGATTCCTCAAGTTAATTTACCTCAAGCTAAAGTTCGCATTTTGACACCCTTGCAAACAAGAAAGTGTGGACATCTTTCTACTGAAAGTGTAATAGTTAATCCTTTTTATAGCTTTGGGTGGTTCTCTTCGGGTAATTATTCGAGGGAAGGTAATTACTAGAGTTTCACCGGAACTGAATTTATGACCGGAATCGGATCCAATTTGAGTTCCGAATCGTAGCCGGAACTTGTTCTTGGTTCTGTCCCGGAACCGGAACTTACGACAAAACGCTTAATATCCGTTTTAAGTAATAAGATGTATGGGATGTATCTTGAACCGAAGAGACCTCTTCTAGCCTTGTTTCCTCGTCCTTTATCTTTATTTTCAAAATTTTTTCTTTAAAGGATGAATTAATTCATTCTACAGTGGATTTACTTCCTCAATTGACTTCTTTTTGTTGTACAGATGGTTTAATGGTTATTTTACCTTCGCTACTCAATTTATTGTTTGGCATTCTTCGAGAATGTTCTTCTCAAGAAGATGATAATCAACAACAATCCAAAGCTATTAGTTCTGCTATTTTGGTAAATATAATAATTTTGATACAGTTAGACCTTATTATAAGATAAGACCTTGGCTAACCCAACAGCTATCTTTAGGGAATATAATGTAATGTGCATAGGTTTGGTTTACAGATTGGTCCCAGCATTCTCCTATAGTCATAGGTGGGTCGGAACAGTCAGAGGTGTCGGAAATAGGAAGAGCCGGAAATCGGAACTGGCTCCAAACTCAAAAATAAAAGTTTTTTTTTCGGAAATCGGGAGGAAAAAAATGCCGGAGTTCGGAATTCCGACTCATTTCTGCTTATAATGAGGTTATCTTAAATAGATATACCTAGCTTATTTGGGACGTATCTTGAATTGGGGGTATTGCTTGGACAGCTCTCCCCCATCCAATAATCAACCAATTTAAAACCTACCCTAAATTCGAGGTAGGTTATCTGTTTCATTGTACCTTTATAGTGAGATCTGACTATAAAATCTATTAAAAAATTTTTTTGTTCATTATCAGGCATTAAAGAAACTTTGTTCTGAATGTCCTCATCCAACAAAAGAACAAAAATTATTTGAAGCATGGGAGTCGGTTAGAACAATTTTTTAAAATGTTTGTTAAATTTAATTTTAGATAATTCGAAGTGGCCTTCTCTCTCTGCTTAATTTTGCTAATGGTAAAATGATTTGAAAATTATTATCAAATTAAGGAATGGGGAGGATGAGAGAATAGGAGATCTGAAAATTCTCATTTAAATAATAGACGGTCCAAAAAGGACCTACAATCGCCAAAAACTGATTGAAAATGACTGGGGTAGACTTGAATCCTGATCACTTTTTCAATATTCATATTAAAATAAAAATTTCAGAATCGCATCAATCTGGCCATAAAGAACAACAATTAACCTTACTATTATCCGCTGCCGTTATTTTGTCTTCTGCCTCTACAGCAAAACCAAAAACAGTTAAAAATGGGGAGGAAGAAGGAGAAGAACTATCAACAACAACATTTTGTGTTGATCAAAATTTGTTTGAAAAATTTTGTTTGGCGCAAAGAGAAGCCCTTATTAATAATGATGAAGGAGAAAAAGGAGAAGAAAAACAACGCATAATAATTTTGAAAAGATTTATTCTAAATTTATGTCAACAAATTAGTGTTGACAAAACAGACACTTGAAAATATGTGTAAAAATATTCGGCTCTATTACACAATATACGTCCAATTAACTATTATGCGTCCAATTAACTATTATGCGTCCAATCAACTTTTTTACGTCCAATCAACTTTTATACGTCCAATGAAAGTTTATGGGTCCAATGAAAATTTATGTGTATAATAAAACATGCTAATGCGTATAATAAACCCACTAATAAAACATGCCTTCTATTTTTTAAATTTATTAACGCTAAAATTATGATACGTTACGTCGAATTTTCGAAATTTATGGATTGAATGCAACAAATCTTCACAGAAAATTAAAAACCTTTAATAGACGAGACTGACAAATTAATTAATGATTTTCTCGAATTCAATCTTAATTAAAATGTTATAGTTTAAAAGTATTAAATTGTTAATGTCTAATTTATTAATTAAAAAATATAAAATATTATATTTTTATAATAATCGATATATGTATTTATGAAAATCCTTGTTATTAAATAGAATAATATTAGAAATAAAAATTTCTTAAATGAATGATTATTCATATAAATAAACTTAAAATGTATTATGTATTAAGTTTTATATTTAATAGTGCATTAATATTAAAATTAAATGTATTGTGCAATAAGGGTGGAGTAAAAAATTAAGGGTGTGATAAAACATTTTTTGGGAATTTTCTAGTCTATTAATTAACAGATTTTAACCCACTAATAGAACATGCCTTCTATTTTTTAAATTTATAAACGCTAAAATTACGATACGTTACGTCGAATTTTCGAAATTTATGAATTGAATGCAACCATTTATGAATAAACTATCCTGTTATTGAATTCTTCTTTTAAACATAATGGTTTTTGAGTTTTCTTTCGTTTCTTTAAATGAAAATAATGTTATAAATAAAGAGGAAAATTATAACATTCAACAACAAGTACTTAGCGTGAAACAATTTCGACTCATCAACTTCTACCATTGTTAACTCGAACTCTTGTTGCCCATCACTGACAGAGGTCTCGAGAAACTTATAATAATACACGACAGTATTAGGAGATACTATGTTAGTTTCGGCTTAAACGGTAGTGAGTCTACTTGCTGGGTTGTTAAACCATAATAAGCGACACACATTAAATTTGTTTCCTAAATTATGTATTTTTAGATGAATCTCTGTTAGCTCTTGCAAGCTCTTAAGCAAGAATTCATTATTTACTGGACGTATAAAATTTATTTGGACGCATAAACTTTGATTGGACGCATAAATATTTGATTGTACATATAAATTTTCATCGGACGCATAAACTTTTTATTGGACGCATAAACTTTCATTGGACGTATAATAGTTGATTGGACGTATATTGTATAATAGAGCCAAAAATTCCATATAGGGCTTCTGATTGTTATTTTTTAATGTTGTATTTATGAATGACTCTTATAAAGATAATTCTTTAAAGTATAAATCGGTCGAGACATTACGATCAAAAATCTCGGTTATCGAGATCTCGATTCTCGTACGACACTCTCAGTTTTATATTATTGAATGACTACATATTTTTTCAAAAGTTATTTGGCTATTAATGAGAGAAAAAATCTAAATTGAGGATAAAAATATACCGATACTAGAATTTCACCGGAAGTTCCGGTTCCGGAAAGTTCCGGCTCCGGTTTACAAATCGGTTCCGGTGAAACACTAATCGATACCATCATCTCAAATTTTTATTTATGGGTTCAGTTCTCACAGAATAACGGTAGCACCTATCGATATGTTTAAACAAAGTAAAGCTTGAAAGTGTGTGGGATAAATTATATAAATGTTAGGGTAGGAGCAGCCCAGCCCAATTTAACGCATAGCAATAACTTCGTTCAAAATTATTCGATCTGTGACTTCCTGGTATTGTTGGATGCGTCTCGACGAGCTGAATTTAACAATGTCAAGGCGTCTTAGATTCGATAATCTTGAAAGTTAAAGCTCGGGGGTACATTGGGCACGATTAACGTTGGGGGTGTTGCATGTTTTGGGGTTTGTCTTTATATTTTTTTTCGCTCAGTACTTTTTAGCTTTTTCAATAATTCCATATTTCTTTATTTATTCGATTCCTTTGTTTTTCATTCTATTTTGTTTTTGATAGCAATTTCTACATATATACTTGTCTGGTTCTGAATGTCGGTACCATTGCCTAGTTTGTATTACATCACATGTATAACAATGACGACCGTGCTAAAGTAAAATTAAATACAGGCAGAAACCTCTCCACATCCCTTCCCAATTCTTATTCCTTATATGTAGGTACGCAAATATTCTTGTTTTCGGAAGAATTCCGAAAACAAAAGTCTCTCGGACGGGTACACCCCAACCTACCGCCGAGCCCAACCTACCGCAGAGGCTATAACTTCGTTCAAGATTGTCGAATCTGAGACAACTTAGTATGGTTGGATTCAGCTCGTCGAGGCGTATCGAACCATACCAAGGCGTCCTGGATTTGACAATTCTAAAGGAAGTTATAGCCTCGGCGGTAGGTTGGGCTGCTATATGTAGGTTGGTCTGTTCCCTTCCCGGACGTACTATGCCGATCCCAAATATAATACAGTAGATATATGTAGCGACCGTTTACTTATTTAAAATTATTATTTTAAATAATTTTAACCTTTTGTGAGTTATACCACAATTTCTTCGGTCTAAGTTTTCCAGTGTCTCGTTTATACATGTTACATGGGGTGCACAAAAAATTTTGTTTCAAATAGGTATCCCACTGAATAGATTTTGTTTCTCCACAATTAAAGCAATTTCGTTTATTTTTTTCGTAAATTTCCCCTATAATATTTTAAGAATAAGGTTCTCAGATTCTGTAACATACTGAAGTTTTAGGTTGGGTTCTGTAACATTTTAAAAACATTTTTTGAACCGTAAGCCCTATTTAAGAACCATAACATTTTTACGAGGTGAAGCAGGGTAAACAGAAAATATTTTGGGTAAAACTATCAGCCAGTGATGTCAAAGTTAGTTCAGTTCCGCAACTAATTAGTTCCAGAACTAGAACTACGGAACTAACGATTATCTGGAACTAGTTTGGAACTAGAACTACGGAACTAGTAAATGCCTGGAACTAGCTTGAAACTGGAACTAAGGAATTTCAAAAATGGAGTTCCGGAACTGGAACTACAAAAATTAAAAACCTAGTTCTGATACTGGAACTAGTTCCAGAGAAATTTTGGAACTTTGACATCACTGCTATCAACATTTTAAATAAAGACCAGCAACTCGATTATGCTTATTTCAAATAATATTATATAAGTGATAAATCTTTTACTCATTTCATTGTCAATATAAACAATTCTGCTTTCTTCTTTCGAAGTTTCAACTTTTTGTTTTTCTAACAATTCAATTTTATATCCATTCAAATTAATTACCGTCCAATAACTTGATAAGAGTTTGTTTTTATAATTTTCTATTTTTTCTTTAATTAATTTCAAATCACTATTATTTTCTGAATTCTCATTTAATATCGAAGTTTCATAATATTTATTCTTTTCAACAAAATTATTTTTTAAGAGCACCTTAAATTAATTATTAGGGTGCGTCAAAGCAAGCAAAAGCATATTTTGCATGCGGATATGCTATGAGATGAAACGTTCAAAAATGGTGTTTTTACATAGGTCCGAGCACTTTGGGACCAGCTTCTTAATGCATATTTTTGCATATTTTTACTTTTGTGCATATTTGCATATCGATGCATATTTTGGGAAATTTTGCATGTTTTTGCCAAAATTTGGCATATTTCGTTATTTTTTGATAAACCTAGTAACTACATATAATCAAATTAGAAAATGCAGATCTTTTCCATTTGTGTTGGAGGGGGTACCAGTGGAAGTGGGGTAACTATTTCAACGAGGGAAATTAATACATTTTATACAGTACCCGTTTTTTAAATTCAGGCAAAATACTTTGAATCTTTTGACTATTAGCAATTTCAATCACAATTTTCCTTTTTAATTGTTCAGTTGGACTATATTTAGATTTTGAACTTATTTCAGTTTTAAAAATATTTTTAACGGGATTAAATTCATTTAAACGCAAATATCCCTCTATATTTTTATTAAGACTATCAAATCCGTTATTTTGTTTATCAATTGTTTTCACCACAAAACTATCTTTTAAATCAACATTTTTTAAATAAATAAATTCTCTTTTTCCTTCCCAATCATTTTTGATTTTTGCTTCTACTTTAATTATTTTTCCTGCGCATTGAATATTTAATAAAATAAATAAATGGAAGATAATAATGATTATAAATTTAATCATTTTTTTAGTTTATTTAAAAATCTTAAAAATAAACATTTTAATATTAAGTAGAATGTTAAGGTATTTGTGCGATATTCCTTTAATCCCTCTGATCCCCCTTGATATCCCGTTTAATCTTTTTCTCTTATTAAGCTACTATTAAGAATCACCAATGCTGGGTATGCCTTAGGGAGCTAGCTCCGGAGCGACCGGCGGAGCTAAGATTTTACTATGCCCGGATTGGAGCCAAAGTTTGAAAAGGTGATGGAGCCACAAAATGCCCAATACCCAGCACTGGGCTCAACTTAGGCATATATAAGAGTGACTTAAACGTGACAATTTTTAGAACTCCATCAATCATTCAGAACACGTAAGAGTTCTGAAACCGTCAAAAAACTTCAACCTTTGGAGCATCAAACTAAATTAACCGTTCCAAAATACTTTTAAACGAAATGTAAAACCCTTTTTGAGTTTTTGAGACCCTATAAATAAATAGGGTCCCAATTTTAAAATTTTAATTAAATGTTAAGGAGGGTGAGATAAACAAACATATATAAAAAATATTATTAAATAATAATATTAATTTTGGCAATAAACAAAAAGTGCAAATTTATTAAAGAGCCCTTTCTTAATTGACAAAATAAAATTAAAAAAAATAAGTAAATAAATTGGGAAATTCCTTTAATGTTTTATTCCCACATAAAAAATTTTAAAAGAGATCTCCATGGGGTTGGTTCGAAATTTC